ATTAAAATTGTACTTGAAAGAATATCTTTCCTTATGAATTCTTAATCATGGCTGAGGCAAGCAGTAGATTAGATATAAATCTAGAGGCTTCAGGAAGGATAAACAGTATTATGTTTATATCCATTTTGGAAGTAAGCAAAACAAACAAACAAAGGAAATAATCATAAGAGGTGGGTACTGTGGCGGATCCTACAAAAACATAATAGATGTGGGGAAAAGTGTTGCATTTTTGAGAAAGGAAGATAAACTGATTTTATTACTTCATCCTGAATCTTTTAAGTATTGATCTTGGTTTGTTTTCCTAAAGCAGCAATTCAGTGCAGGGCATTACTGGAAGCTAAAACGTTAGTGGAATAGCCTTTCTTGTTTATCAAGTCATTTAAAAAACCCAGCAGCATGGTTTAATGCCTTTTCTGTCAGTCTCTTTCTCGGTCTGTTTATTACTGATTTGACGGGCTCTGGTCCTTCTCCTTTGCTGTTAAACGTGTGTGTCCTTTGTTTGTGCTGGTGGCTTTTGCTATAGTTGGATGTGAGAGAAAAGCCTGTCATTGCCATACTCATATAATTAGCCTTCTGGGTGAACATATACATTAAATAGACTTTCTAAGCCATGAAAGAGGGAAGCTCACAACAGCGTAGATTTTCTTCCTGTACTGTTGTTTCGCCTGTTTTATGTCCTCCACGAATTGATGGCCGAAAGCTTGTCCGGAATGCTTCATTTGGAGGATACAATGAACTTTCGTTGCCAGGTTTGTTTTTTAGTCTTATTTCTTAATTTCTTACACAGTTTTCATTAAAATAAAATAGACATTTTAATATCTTAAACCTGCTTTGGTTTAAAGAAAACAACTTTATGTGAAAGGTTAGGTTTTAGTAGCTGCTGCTGTAGCGCTTGGCTTTTCCATATTTTCTCTTACAATTTCTTAAGCTCAAACTTGAGAACTAATGATTCAGTAAAGTACAAATTTTCAATACTTATGAGTTTTTGTTTTAATTATAGAGGTAAATAGTATACCCTTTGATAAAATTAAAGCCTTTTCTGGATTTGAGATGAATGTAAAATTCTATAAATGAACAAATTATTCTGAGATTTCTATAAATGAAACCCAAATATTTAATATTGATATTTGTTTGGCTGTTTTCAGGAAGAGTAACTAACCTAAAATTGATGTTTAGTTTAATTTTTAATAGCTCAAGCCCTGACTAAGTGAAGTTTTCTGCCTGAGAATAATATTTGACATCCCTTACTTGTTGTTAGATATGTTTGTGTATGTTGTTTTTGCTAAGAAAAACAAATTGTTAGGGAAATAGTTATTAAATGAAATTTGGTGTTTAACAGCTATGATTTAGACATTAAATCATTTGTCAGTGAGAGGTAAATATAAATTGATCTTTTATTGTTTGAAAAAGATTTATTGTAGCAAATATTTGGATATATTTTAAAATATAAACATTTTTTTCTTTTCAAAATTTTAAACTGCTACATAATTATATCTACTCTTTAAAGTTATATTTTTCTTTTAAAATAAAAATACTCTTAATATTCATGAAAAAGAAATATTGACTGAAACTGGTACTTTAACAATCTATTTTTCTGACACATATTTTGTTATTCTATTTTCACACTAATTTTTATTCTTGACTTTTTGTGAATATTCATGTTGATAGATGATATATTCATTTCTTTGTGATAATGAAACACTATAGAAGGTATTACCTGAGCAATTAAATAAATTATTTTTAAATTCACTGATTTCATTTTCTTTTTTAAGTGTTTCTGAAAAGAATTGGAAACCATAGTCCTGAACTGTTGCCTAAGTAGTGTAAGCTTTAAATAGCATTTATAATCCATATTTAGTCTTGTTAGTGTGGCATGGTACTATCATGCTTCTTTCTTACATTCTCAAAGGGTTATAAAGTATATTAGTATTTATCTTTGTTTGAAGTGGCTTTGAAAATACAATATACTGAATTTTTTAAATGTTGCTAAATGCTCTCTTTGCTTTTACAATGTGATTTCCATTTCTATATTTGTTTCTGCCTCCTTGTTCTTTTTTTAAAGAAAGCCAGCAAGCTTGCTGGAATACCTTTGTTGACCTTGTCTCAAGTCTGCTCAATACTAAAGAATCATGTGACCCTAATAAAAAAATAGAAAACGTCACTTTTCAAATTTGGTATTTACTTAATTAGGTAATTAAAGGCAGAATTGTCAGTTTTCTTATCAAAGAATATATTGAACGTCATTCTGGATCAATTTGTTTGAATGGAAAAGTGAATGATTGGCTTGTTTTTCTAATTCTTGAAACAGAAAATATCATACTCATACAGATACTTCCATATTCCACTTAATACAACCAACAGTTATATTATAACCAGCCATGATAAAAAGCTCTTTAAAATATGTTTTATCAGCTCTTTTAAATATGTTTTAAATGGAATTAAGTACTTCCACGAAGCAAGCAGCTTTTTATGTATTTTTTAAAGTTAAAACTAAAAATGGAAAGTCTTGGTCATTTTATTGTAATGAAAAGAAAAATTATAGGTGTGTTTTTTTTTCATCTGACATTTAAAGGTAACTTTATCTTACTACTTTGATCACAACCTTTTTTCATTTTAGTTTTCCTTAGGAAAATATTTTTTTAATTTTTTTTTGTCATTTCTACCTTCAGAAGTACATTTGATATGACCTTTTTCTTTATAATGAGCTATAATATAGAAATGGTACTCCTGCCCATGTACTCATAGTGATACCATAGTACAGTTTTTTAAAAGTTTATATAGAGAATCTCTTATTTTTAAATATGTTTTTATTGATTTGAGGGAGAGAGGAATGGAGAAGGATAGAAACATTAATGAGAAAAAAACATCAACTGGCTGCCTCCTGCATGCCCCCTCCTAGGGATCGAGCCAGCAACCCGGGCATGTGACCTGTTGGTTCATAGGTTGATACTCAACCACTGAGCCACATCAGTCTGGCTAGAGAATCTTTTAAAATATGATTTGTTTATAGGTTTTGACAGATAACATACAAACTAGGTTTATTAATGTCCTTTTCCAACATTTGAAACTTTCTATAAGACATACTTACTTGCATGGTAAAAAAAAAGCTTATTCAGACTTACAACTTCTACTTTTGTTTTATTTACTGTTCAGTTTTTAAAATAATATGTGAATGTAGACACAGTGAAGTGGTGTTTTTCTTCATTTAAGAAATGGATTTGTCTAAATTCACATGAATATAAAACTTCACTAGAGAAATTGAAGTCTGTTTTTGTGAGAATAAAAGACATCATTTTTTATTTACAATATACACTTTTAGAAAAGCTTTATGCTCTTGTACATATATTTAGAAGATCTTTGAAGTGTTTTATATTAGTTTATTAGCATTGAGAATTACCTATTACAAGTATTTATTACTTTGAAATATTTTACAACTTTTAAGCTGAATTATATAACTTCAGTTTGTTTTACACTAAAGATTCTAATTCTGATAAGTTTTCATTTAAAATTCCATGTTGGATTTATGAGACAGGTTTTTTCCCCCAAGGGTTGGAGTTGTGTGATCATTCTCTTTACCAGAGGGGGCGGGAGGGGGGTGGGGCTGGTGGAGGGGGTAATTCCTTCTTTATATTACAGAAAAAAATTCTCTAAAATCTCTGAATTAGGAAAATGGAATGGATTTGTTCTTAGCTGATATAAACCAAATATAGAATAAATGGTATTTTTGCTATGCTAGAAATGATTTTTAAGTCCTGGGCTATGAATAATTATATCCTATACAATAAAAGGCTAATATGCAAATTGGCCAAATGGCAGAACAACCAGTCGCTATGACACGCACTGACCACCAGGGGTCAGACGCTCAACGCAGTAGCTGCCCCCTGGTGGTCAGTGCTCCCACAGGGGGAGCACCACTCAGCCAGAAGCTGGGCTCACGGCTGGCGGGTGCAGTGGTGGTGGTGGGAGCCCCTCCCGCCTCCGCTGCAGCGCTAAGGATGTCTGACTGCCTAAGCCGTCAGCCAGACATCCCCCGAGGGCTCCCGGACTGTGAGAGGGCACAGGCCAGGCTGAGGGACCCGCCCCTCTAAGTGCATGAATTTCATGCACCGGGCCTCTAGTGTGTGTATATATATATATATATATATCTTAGATGTTTATATTTTTAATATAGGTTTTTATTGGACTCAGAACAAATAGCTTTAGGGAAGAGTTAATATTACTTGCCCTCAAAAATAGAAAGAACATTAAAATGAGTACTGCTCTTTCATGTCTGCCATATAAATCTCAGAATTAACATTTCTCTAATTACACCCTTATAACATTAATATAACTGCTTTTGGCATAGTGTTACATGATTGCAGAGATGTGTACATGTTTATCCCAGTACATTCATGTATTTTAGATTCATCCTTTTACAATGTGTATAGCAATAATGACAGTGATACAAGGGTCAGTATTAACTGAACGTATACTATGGTGCAGAATACTATGCTAAATGCTTTCTGTGCAGTTTCATTTAATTCTCACAATAAACACATTGTTAGATTTAAGTCTGTTCCTCAGTCCAGATTTATTGCCCTGGTCATCTTTTATCACTAATTCTGGAATTGTTTTCTAGTTTAGCAAGAGGTATGAAAAGTATGTTAGATTGGTTTATCAGGATTCTTTGTAAGGAAACAGTTCACTAGGAGAATAAAAGCACCATGAAGTCTGAATTCATCCAGAGTGCTCTAGGAGCAGAGAAAAGTGGTATGTAGCTTGATGTTGGTGGGTTCAGGGAAAGATTTCATTACTTCTGGAAGCCTTAATTTATTCTAAAGAATTATTATACTAGAAACCTTTAAACTTATAATAGTTTAAAACTGTATATTCAGTCTAGGCTTAATGTACATAATAAAACATAATATATATTTGAAATTGAATGACTTATTTGCATTTGCTTTTAGCGCCTATATATGCTCAAAAGTAGTGATACTGATGTAATCACAATGTTTTTAAAGGTTTTGAAAGAGGAAGGGAAGACATTTCTCAAAATAGAGATGACTCTTCACTTTCTATGTCAAAGAGCAAGGTAAGCCTATTGTTGTCCCCAAATATATGAGTAAAATATTTTTCTAACATTTAAGATGAGGAAACTAATACTGTAATCCTATCAGATCTTGAGAGATGTTCTTATGTGGTATATAAGCCCGTGATGGCGAACCTATGACACGCGTGTCAGAGGTGACACGCAAACTCATTTTTTTGATTGATTTTTCTTTGTTAAATGGCATTTAAATATATAAAATAAGTATCAAAAATATAAATCTTTGTTTTACTATGGTTGCAAATATCAAAAAATTTCTATATGTGACATGGCACCAGAGTTAAGTTAGGGTTTTTCAAAATGCTGACACACCGAGCTCAAAAGGTTCGCCATCACTGATCTAAGCCATGGATGATATGGTGAAAAAAGGAACATTTCACTGGGGCTGGTGTTCACTTGCAAATTTGGCCTTTTGATAACCAGTATCCTCCCTGGAGTTATTGTTTCTGGTATGGCTGCTACAGCAGTACTTCACAAACTGAAATCTGATAGTTCCATTTGGAGAAATTCTCAGGGTTTATTTATTTTTTTTAAAAAATTATTTAAGTGTTTGGGATTCATTCGAATGACCATCAAAATGTGTACATTTTACGTAAGTCCAAAGATCTTACAGTAATAGCCTGCAATTGAAAGACATTTTCTTAGAATAAGACATAGTTTCCTGAGTTAGTTTTTTTTTTATTAGCTAAGGTATTACAAATGTGTCCTCATCCCCCCCCATTAACCCCCCCCCGCCCCGCACACTCATGCTCCCATTCCCCTGTTGTCCATGTCTATTGGTTTGGCTTATATACATGGATACAAGTCCTTCGGTTGATCTCTGAGTTAGTTTTTCTCAAATCAAAATACCTGTATATAAAGTACATGTTTGAGAAATAAATTGAGAAGCACTATATGATGCCTTGGTTTTCCTATGGGTTTGTAATTTACTAGATTTCCATAATATGTCAAGGGATTTGACTTTTGACTATTACTTCTGGTCAGGTTTAATAGCAGGAGAAACTTATGTTTGTGGAATCAAACTTTGAAGATGTGAAGTAAGAAAACCTATTTCTTAAGCTAGTAAATTCTCTGCTATTCTCAGCAAATGACTTTGCTTTAAAACACTTTACATTTTTTGTTCCTGTTTTTGGGAGTGGTTGAGAAGATTACATATGTTTTAATGTATAATTTTACACAAATTTTATTTGTGCTTAACTTTTCAAGTATTTGTTACATAAAGGTCCATCTATCATATGTGTAAAAGTACTTAGGAAGGAAGTTTAATAGTGCTTTATATGTAGGTAACATATGCATGAGAAATGCCTTGATTATTTTATATAAAATATATACTTAAAGAAAATTAAAGAGAAAGTGATTATCTTGGGTCTGCCACGGCTAGAAATACAATGCAGTTTATAGGATTTTAAAAACCTATTTTCAAATCTTAATACCAGAATTGGTGAGTGTATGGTATAATGTATTCCTTCCTACTCAGAAGCCTAAACACTTAAACCCCACACCTACACAGCCCCCTATATATAGTCTATAAATAGGGGAGGGGGGGAAGCAGGGAACCTAGAAAGAAAGTTTACATACCTTAGTGAAACAGTATGCTTTGAAACTGCTCTTTGAGTACAGTAGCACCTAGTCATACATGATTCTTTAAATTTAAAGTAATTAAAATTAAATGAAATTAGCAATTCCGTTTCTCAGTTATATCAGTCTCATCTCAAATGCTTTATAGCCACATTTGACTAGCAGCTACCATATTGGACAACTGAGATATGGAACATTTCACATTTCTGTCATTCAGAAAGCTCTACTGGACAGCATTGCTTTAGAGTAAATAAAGCTAGTTTAAATCTTGATTCTCATGGTTAAGATAATGGTCAGTGCCCTGGCTGGTGTGGCTTAGTGCTTAGAGCTTTGGCCTGAGCACAGAAGGGTCTCGGTTTTAATTCTCAGTCAAGGGCACTTACCTGGGTTGCAAGCTGGATCCCTGTCCCAGTATGGAGTGTATGCAGGAGGCAACCAGTGGGTGTGTCTCTCTCACAATGATGTTTCTCGGGGTGGGCAATGGGATAAGGACACATATGTAATACCTTAGTCAATAAAGAAAAAAAAATTAAAAAACCAATGGGAAAAATATCCTTGAGTTATTGTTTCTGGTATGGCTGCTACAGCAATACTTCCTTTTGTTAATTTGACAATTAACAAACCAACCAAAAAGTATAGTGGTCAATAAGATTTTAAAAGAAGGAAAACTTAGTAAACTATTTCCAACAAAAAATATTTTTGGTATTTAAAAGGTAACCTATTCATTCTAAAAACTTAGTGATGTATTTAAAAAGACTGCAGACCTCTTGGTCACTGGATCTTTTTTTTTTTTTTTTTTTTAGAACTAGCTATACAATATGGCAAGGATTTTTTGAAGTATATGTGTTCTAATTTATCAAGCTTGTATGATACCCTTCTGGCCTGTTGGACCCTTATATACTGGAATCTTTTAGGAATTACCAAGCTAGATCTTGTATGTGTAGGAAACAGATTTCCTATTGTTCATGAAGATAAGTATTAAATTTGAGTCTGAGTCAGATTATGTATAAACAGTTTTAAAAGGTGAGAAATCAATATAGTGAGATGGCTAAGAGCATGAGACCGGAAATTAGCCAAACCAGAATACAAATCCCAGTTTATCTACTTACTAGCTGTGTGTGACTTGAGGGAAGTTAGTTATTTAATCTCTTGGTCTTAATTTCCTTATTAGCAAAAGGAGATACTACTGTCTCATGGGGTTGCCTTGAGGATTAAATGAGGTAGTGCACATAGAGTGTTCAGCATAGTACTGTTTTTGTTTATTATATTTTATTCCCCTAATGTGGATTAGTTTTTAAATCCGAATACTATACTACATGGAGAATCAGTATTTGAAAATCAACATTTGCGGAAATCACAGAAATAAATGGGAAGAATGTCACAAGCATAGCTTGAACATTAATATTTTTATGCCATATGTTTAGGATAAATGAAGGTTTTAATTTTTTGTTGTTGTTAATTTCTGTGTGATTTTAGTCTGAATCTAAACTTTATAATGGCTCGGAGAAGGACAGTACAGCTTCAAGCAAGCTCACAAAAAAAGAATCTCTCAAGGTTAGTTTCCACAGTCATTTCATAACTAACATTATGCTTTGCATGTGCTTTTGAAAGTAGGCTAATAAGATAAAGAAGTAAATGTGTCTTCCTGAAAGAAGAAAAAAAATCCAGAGAGGCACACATTAAAAATGTCAATATTTGTATGACATTCTGGAGACAACTGAAAAGGCTGCATAATGACTCTCCCAGAGCAGTTTCAGGCCTCACTTGGCCACTGCTGGGGTGGAGGACTAGGTGTCTTTGCAGAGCTGTCCTCAGTCAGGCACATCACTGTGCCCTTGGAAATTCAAGTTTACTAACTGCTGGGTCATGCATGGGCTGAATCTGGGCATTGGGTAAATATAAAGAAGTCCTCATTTCACATTGTCAATTGATTCTTAGAACTGAGGTGAAATGATGACAAAACCAATTTTACCATAGGCTAATTGATACAAACGAGTAAAGTTTCCGTAGCATCTAATCACCGTTATAATGAAGCAATGGTGAACAAAACGATGTTATTTGAGGACCTGCTGTATTTTATTTGACCTACATGGTGTTTTAAAAATTCAACAATTACAAGTTCAGATTTCCAGCTTCTCTTAAGAAATGTGCAGTATGGCCTGGCTGGCGCAGCTCAGTGGTTGAGTGTCGACCTATGAACCTGGAGGTCACGGGTTCAGTTCCCGGTCAGGGCATATGCCCAGGTTTCGGGCTCGATCCCCCGTGTGGGGCGTGCAGGAGGCAGCTGATCAGTGATTCTTTCTCATCATTGATGTTTCTTTCTCTCTCTCTCTCTCCCCCTTCCTGTCTGAAATAAACTCAATAAAAATATTTTTTTAAAAAAAGAAAGAAAGAAATGTGCATTGTTGGGCCTGCCTTCCAGATCACCACAGACCCTGGAGCCTAAGGAACACATCCTTTCCAATTGACTGATCCCTGTGTAGTCTCGTACCTCTCCCCCACCCCCCCATATTTGATCTTGTATTTATTTGCACTTATAATTTCATATTAAATCTACTCTTAATTCATATGTGCATTATAATAAAGACCAAAAGTCTACAATTTTTTGGCTGTAGAATTATTGAAATTTTGTTATTTGTATGCAGTAAAACTAGGAAGATTTTGTGTTATAGTTAAAAAAAATATTCATATCACTGACAGGTTACCACCATTCTCCCATCCATGTAATAATAACAAAGCAATAAGGCTAGATTAATTCACTGCTACTTTCCCAAATTATCTCAGAACTGGCTTATTTATATTTTACATATTAGTATCAGGAAAGAGCAAAATTGTCAGTTGCAAACCGTTGAAGCATTGTTCATAATGTGAAAAAACTGCTAACAGAGATTTCCATGAGTATTAGAATATATTAAGAAAAATTTTAGAAGCAATATGGCATGGCGATTAAGAGCATGTCTTTACAGACAGTCTGCCTCTGTTTGGATCCTGCCTCTGTTACTTACTAGCTGTGTGATCCTGGGCAAGTTACTTTCTGTGCCTCAGTTTTATCTTTTGTAGAATAAGGGTACTAATAGTCCTACTTCCCAAGGTTATTGTAAAGATTAAATGAAGTAAAACATGTAAAGTGCTTAGAACTGTGACTGGCACACAGAATATACCCAGTAAATGTTAGCTCTTATTATTTATACTAGGAATTCTATGTAGCAGTGAAAAAATGAGGTGGAGCCCTAGCCGGTTTGTCTAGAGCGTCAGCCCATGGACTGAAGGATCTCGGGTTCAATTCCGGTCAAGGGCACATACCTTGGTTGCATGCTCAATCCCTAGTGCTGGTCAGGGCATGTGTGGGAGGCAGCCAGCTATATGTCTCTTTCACATCAATGTTTCTCGGTCTCTGTCTCTCCCTCTCCCTTCCACTCTCTAAAAATCAATGGAAAAACATCCTTGGGTGAGAATAACTGAATGAGTGAATGAATGAATGAATGAATGAATGAATGAATGAGACATGGAAATGCTCCAAAAAATAATGAATGGGAGAACAATTTTTTAATGTGTTTAAAAATTCAGACATGAAAGTTGTATATTTGATAGGTTCTATACATAGAAAAGGGCTAAAAGGATAGTGTTTTCAAAATGGTTAACAGTGGTCAATTCTGTGGATTAGAATAGGATAGGGTATACGAAAGATGGCTTTTTACCTTTATTTGTGTTGTTTTAAATTTTTTACCAGGAGATTGTATTTATGTATTATTGTGTAATTTTAAGAAGGTAGAATTATTTTAAAAGATACAGAGAACTGAACTAGTGATCAGAAGAAGTTAGATTCTAACCATACTTCTCTAAAAATTCTACCAGTTCTTAAAAAAAAAAAACACTGAAAAAAGTAGTTCTTTTATCCTAAGATGCTAGAATTCTAAAAGAGGGCTAGACTTTTATACTCTAGATTCTATACTCTAACTATATAGAGTATAAAACTAAAAATTTTGAAAATAAATTGCCCATTTCTAATGAATTTTTAATTTTGCTATTGTTTCTGTAAAATAGGTGCAAAAGAAAAATTACCGAGAAGAAAAGAAAAGAGCCACAAAGGAGTTACTCAGTTCAATCACAGATCCTTCTGTTATTGTCATGGCTGATTGGTTGAAGGTCAGTTTGTATTGAATCTTGAATTCTCATTGCTGGATGTTTATCTACTGGAATAAGAAAGCCCAGAGTACACTAAAGCCATCCTGCAAGACATAAATAACTACTAGGATGATTGTTTTTCACTGAAAAACTATTAATTATATCCCAGAGGTTCTCTGTTCCAATCTTAATGGGGAGAAGGAACCTTAATGTTGTTCTTTCTTGACAACAACATCAAGTATGTATAGCAGTTCGTTTAAAAAGGCTTTTTGATTTGTACGACATTATGTAGTCTAATCAATATGCTATAAAAAAATATTTTGGCCCTAGCCAGTTTGGCTCAGTGACAAGAGCTTCGGCCTGCAGATTGAAGAGTCCTGGGTTGATTCCCAGTCAAAGGCACGTACCTCTGTTGCAGGTTCGATCCCTGGCCCAGTCTGGGTTGGGGCATGTGCAGGAGGCAACCAATCAATATGTCTCTCTCACATTGATGTTTTTCTCTCTCACCCCCCCCCCCTTCTCCCTCCCTTCCACTCTCTCAAAAATCAATGGGAAAATATCCTTGAGGATTTAAAAAAAATTATTTTCAGATTATCATTTAGTATTATTACAGACTTGGTATATGCATTATTGAGAGGATATGATACAAAGTTAATATAAAAATTATCATTTGAAAAGGATTAGTTTTCAGAGAAATGTACATATTGCTGTTTCCATGACTTATTATTTTGGCCTCTGGTTATTCCCACTTATTTATATTTCCTTTTTTTATCATATCAGTAACTCTTTCTTGTTTTTATCAGAAGGATATTTGGTAGTAATCTTTCAGACTAAGGCTAACTCTGAGAATGATCTTATAAAACCCTGACTCCCAAGAAATTTTAGTATCTGGCCTTGACCTAAAAATCACCCCATTCCTGAAAGCTTTGCACTTTCCCAAAGAGTTGGTACAATCACCAACCTAAAATCTTTATGAGATCTGTCATTGAAGTTCTCTTACTAACATAGGAGTCTAGTGCTGGTTTCCCTGAGAGTTCAAGTAATATTAGGGTCTTCTTCAATGTTGTGCTGAAAACACCTTCTAATTTTGACTTTACTTAAAAGACTTCAAACTCCAGATCACACTTGGGTTTTTCAGAGCTAAACCTACTCTTGTCTTTTTGACATTGGATTTCCCCAACCAGTTCCCCCAAACTCCCTAATACTTCCCCTGGCTGACTTTCTAAATCCTACCTGAATTCTGATAATTTACCATTCATGTTTTACTATCACATCTCCAAGATCTAGAATCTTATCTCAGAATAACGCTTACTTTCCATCTCTTTTACATATATGCAGACTCTTTCTTAAAGATTTTCTCTTTTTTTATGTCTGATTCCAAATGCCCCCTTTCTAAATTTTTCTTATCTAGAGTTACTGTGGTATGCCTGTTTGAGGAATTTGGGAGCCCTATACTTATTTCATAATTCATGTAAGTGCATTGAGAGAACAGATGTTTTACAGTAAATAAAACTGAGGACAATTCCTAGTTTTTAATATTAATACTATATTAGCATCCTTTTCAGTACTGTGAACTCAGTGACTTACATAGAAACACTTTTAATGGATTACGGATATAGAATAGGAAAAGGTAGCTATAGACTATTTTTTTTTTACATAGCATTAAAGCCTAGGATGAGGAACATTTTATAAGACTAGAGAGAGAGTTATGTGACTTGTGTTTTAAAATATTCCCAAGAAGTTTATATGGCACACTCTATGTAATTACTAACAATGGAGTAATTTAGAGAAGGTGATTTTAGGGATAGAGGATGTTCTTCCGTTTTTCTACAACTCATCAAATATTTAGGGAATTCCTGGTGTGTGTTAGCAGTGTTTGCAGCACTTTATGTAGTGGTAAAGGGATAAGATCTTAAAAGGTAGAATAATCTTGTACTCACAGAAATAAAATTACAGCTGTTACAGATGCTAAGAGGAGACTATTAGGAAAGTATATTTTAATAGTCCCTGACCTAACCTAGGAGGTTAGGAAAGCCATTCTACTTAGTACAGTATTTTGAAACTGGTGACCCAGTCTCCCACTAGAATTTAAGAACCTCAGAAGCAGGAGTCATGCTATTTTTATATTTATTATTAATGCTTGCCATTTAGTAGGTTTAAAAGAATATCTATTGACTTTAACATGTACATTTTCTAGAAATTTTAAATTAAAACATCCTATTTGCCATTATTCAGTTTACGTTTTATGGAGCAGAAAGAGAAAAACAGAGCCTTATTTCTTATACTTACTTTCTGTAGATACGTGGTACTCTGAAGAGCTGGACCAAGTTGTGGTGTGTGTTGAAACCTGGGGTGCTACTGATCTATAAAACCCAAAAAAATGGTCAATGGGTAGGAACAGTCCTTCTGAATGCTTGTGAAATCATTGAGCGCCCGTCAAAAAAGGATGGCTTTTGTTTCAAACTTTTTCATCCTTTGGAGCAATCTATTTGGGCAGTGAAGGTAAGTACTTGTTATATAGGTAAAAAGTAAAGATGGTAATCTATGAGTAGAACTGAGACAAATCAATCTAATGGTTGCTATTTTGTGCCAGCACTTATAAATTTATTTCTGTTTTTAAGGGTATTATTCCTCTGTCCCTACCCACAATGAAATTTGTACCAAATGTTCTTGTTTACCTTTAAGATCTAACTTAAATATTTCTCCAGAAAAATGTTTTTAACTTACATTGTTTGTTACCTCTTTGCTATGGGGATTCAGTTTGTACTGATTTTTAAAATTTGCAATTAATCTGCTTTGTAATGTTGTATCATATTTACTGTGTTTTTCTGTTTGTCAAAATTGTAAGATACCATAGAACAGAAGCTGCCATTTATTTTTGTAAGTTTTTTCTGTAGTAATATAAATATGTGGTAAGTATAAGCAATCACAGTCTTTCTTACTCTTGAGAGGCAACGTTCTTTGAAGATGGAACTCTAATGCTTTATAACTAAAAAATATTACTGTGGTCATTCCTGTGTTATAATAGCAGAAACTTAATCAGGAAAATAGAAAAGCCTTATTTTGATTAACTACCAAGAAATTCTACAGTAGATGTGCAGTACACGCTAACAGAATAAATGTGTCTGAGCCTAGTTTAAGTTTTTACAAAGCCACCATTGTTTTAATTTTAAGAAGGCCAGTTACGCTTGAATAAAGGATTTAGAACTCCTTTAAGGAAAACCACATAATTGAGATTAGCACTAAGTAAAAGTAGCTTCAGCTTTTAAATATTTTTGGTATTGCTTAATTGGGCAATATACTTATACCTAGGGAAAAAACTGGGCTCTTTACCTTTGTTTCAGTAGCCTAGAGAGAAGAATAAATTTAGGATTACAGAGTTAGTTCCATTCTGGAATTAGATACTGCCCACAGAGGAAAGAATTTAACCCATACAGCCTGTGGTATTTATATATCATATGATACTCAAATGAAAAAATTCCTTTCAAAACCTTTTATATATAGCATTTATTCTTTACTATTACTCTTAGGAATTGTAAGAATTATAATGAATTTTAAGTCATTAAAAATACTTTTAGCCCTGGCCAGGTAGCTCAGTTGTTTAGAGCATCGTCCCAATACACCAAGGTTGTGGGTTCATTCTCCAGTCAGGACACTTAAGAAGCAACGGATGAATGCATAAATACATGGAGCAACACATCAGTGTTTCTCCCCCCGACCCTTCCTCTCTAAAACCAATAAATAAAAAATTTAAGAAATAATAAAAAATAAATTTTGATATCAAGTTTATTTCATTCCAACTATCTGTGAGAGGGAAGTTTGTACAATTACATGAGCATCAGAATATTCTCAACAAGCAAAACCTACTTAGGACATTGTTTAAACACTTTTAAAGTCAGTGTCTATGATTAGGAAAAAATAATGTTTATGAGTTCTTAACTATGTGTCAGGGATTCTTTTGAGCATTCTACATGGAATATTTTTTTAAATTCTCATAACTTTAGGAAGGATACAGTTTTTTCTTATTAACCAGACAAAGAGATTGAGGCCTAAAGAGATTACTTTAATAATTTTTCTAGCATGGAACCAAAGTTGAAACCCAGACAGTCTGACTCTAGTTACTACTCTATACTGGTTCTAGGAACTGTCCCATAAATTAAAAAGCTATTTGAAAATACCCAAGGGATTTTAGAAGATTTGTTAAAATCATATTGATTTTTCTATTTTTAAATTTTGACTCTGAATCTTTACTTTCTACTGATTATACTTTTTAAAGTTCATTTTATTCCTTGATCTGAGAACTTGAAAATTGTGCTTTTCAATCAAAATTATACTATAAATTGAATCCTCAGATTTTTCTTTCCAAATAAGAACTATATCCTCCTAAGATTAGCCTTGATGATAATAATTACTATAGAGCTCTTGGTGTTGTATACTTCTAAAACAATCCCAGCCAACAACAATAAAATTTCTTTAAAATTAGCTTTTATAGTTGGTATTTATAAACAAGTATATTACTGCTTATAAATGGAGCTTTATTTTTTCCCTAGACCTAGTAAAAATTCTTTTTTTCTTTTGCTTATAAATTATAGCTATATTTCCAGCTGTTTCTTTTTTTCTTTCCAGCTGTTTCTTTATAGTTTCTAGAAGTTAAGTATTTTTTCTAGTAGTATATGTGAGATGGAAATTCTCTGTTAAATTAAAATTTTGTATAGTATGGTGAATTTTAGATTTTCTTTTAATGTGTGAACAATGTACAGAAATAATGTTTAACTAATGATAAATATAAGTTGTTCAATTTTTTGGTAAGGAGGTATATTTGTTGGGAAAGGAAAACTTTCCTTAAACTCAACATTTGCTTTCTCAAGAAGCATGAAATTAAATCTTGTTTGCTTTTAAATTATAATCCATGGCTAACTTAGATTGTTATTGATAATAATAGATAATATAAAGTCAAGATATTACAGTACTATATGCCATTTATTTTGCTTATTTTTATTTTATTTGTTTATTTTAAGGGTCCAAAAGGTGAAGCAGTTGGATCCATAACTCAGCCTTTACCTAGCAGTTACTTGATCATCCGAGCTACTTCAGAGTCAGATGGTAAATACAAGTTTTGATGGATTGGATTTTGGTCTCATTTTAAAAGGTTTATTTATATTCCACTGTGTATTTTCCTTTGGGAAAATCTGTCTTTAGTATGGTATTTGCAGCAGAAGTATTGTAATCATCAATTGCTTAAAACATCAAATATATCATTAACTTGGTAGAAAACAGAAGAATCTGATAGGAAGGAGGCATTAGATAATTAAATTATGAATTAACAGCCTTGAGTTTTCTTCTTTATCCTTCACTGACATGTTAACACCTTCTTGATTTGTTTAATGTTCCCCGTGGTAACTCGTTAAGTTTTATCATTTTAGAGGTACATTTAATATTATTTTCTATCACTAAGTATTAATATTTTTAAGACACACTATTATAATTTTTTTAAATATAAACATTTAATTATAAACTGTTGTTCTGCACTTATTAACTTAATACATAATTCCTGAAGCAAATACAGGGAAAGCAAAACTTACTTATTTGAAATCAAGGTAACTTTAAAACTTTACTAATTAATAATGGATTTCTGTCACACTTTTATATTTTATAGTTTAGACTAGCTTAGCCTAAGGAATCCTGTAACCTTCCAGAGTTTACTTTTACCAGATGATTATTTTTAAAATTAAATTATCATAGGCACAAGTATTTGTTATTTGGCTGATAATTCCAGCAAATGCTGAAACAAATATATGTGGATTTTAAGTGAAAGTAACATTTTTTTCTGCTAATTACAGTTCTAAATTTCAATTTAAAAAATAAGTTAATAATGTTTCTACTAACTAATATAGCAGTTAATAACAGTATTGTACAGGCTTTTCCCTGACTTAAAATTTTTTATACATATGAGTAAAATGGATGCTAAACCTGGGAATAGACTCACTACCAACAAAACATTTTTTAGTTTGTTTATAGTAAAACATAACCCCTTCAGTATATTTTATATACCTTTTTGGTACCTTCAAATTATACTATATGTTACTGTTCTAAAATTTAAAAAATAGAATACATGTATTTTCACTAGGTATACTTACCAATGTGTGCTATATTCTGTTCATTTACCAATGGTTTCTAGATACTTAAGATATAAAAAAACACTTGATAAACTGAAAAATCACATTTAAAAATCCTTGTAAGACTTGATGTTCAAAGTAACTTTTCTGGTGCATGTTTCTCAGAGAAATGATAGTATGCCTAAAGGGTAACAGTGTTACATTAAGATGGATGCCAGTTTGTGTAGTTTCTCGAATTATACTCCTTATGAATCTGTGTTCTTCTAGGAAGGTGCTGGATGGATGCTTTGGAGTTGGCTTTGAAATGTTCTAGTCTTCTTAAACGTACAATGATCAGGGAAGGGAAGGAACATGACCTGAGCATTTCATCAGAGAGCACACATGTGACTTTGTATGGCTTATTACGTGCTAACAATCTTCACAGTGGTGACAACTTCCAGTAAGTAGATATTGCCCCTAATTTGGTAATTTGGAGACCATGTTGTTCACTAGGTTAATTGGCAGGCCTAGAATTTTTGTAGTGTATGTAGGATTGAAATTTGGCTGTCTTCTTCTGATTATATGATCTAAGGCCTGGTTTAAGATTTGTTTAGTTACTATGATGAGGTATAGAAAGTTATTTGCATGACCCTAGCTAATGTGAATTACTTGTTATTTTCCAAATGCAACCATGCTGTTGTCTACCTTGTCTTTGTGTATGGTGTTCCCTTCATTAAGAATGAGTTCTAGTCCACTTTGTTCTTTTTTCCCATCAAAAGACTGTATTCAAGACTGACCTCAAATATTGTATCATATGTGAAAGTCTACCTTGCTCTTTTCTCCTGTCATAGGACTATGAATTCTTTAAGACCGATTCAAATGTTATATGCAAAAACTTTCATGCCTCCTAACCATGAAATATCTGGCCTTCTATTGCTGTTCTGTAATGGCACTTGACTTATTATTATTTTTGTAATGGTATTTGACTTAATCCTTTCTGGTATTTATGGAATCCTCCTATGATATTGTGCTTTGAGTTGGAACTGTGTCTTATTTTGGCTTTACCACCTGAAGCATTTATAGTAGTTAATTTTAAAAAAATTTTCTTCAGGGAAACACAATACTTTCCTTGAGGTTCAGAGGTTTGTTGAGGTTCAGATTTATTTTGTTGCTTTGTAGGAAAAACATTAGACTTCCCCTTTTCCTCCCTTGCTCCAATGCTCAATTTCTGCTCTACAGCTACTTATTGCTATGGGCATTGGATTACTCTCCTGAAAGTTGTTAGACTGCTATTCTCCTCCTTATAACCTGAGCTGAACTTTTTTTTCCTCTTATCCTTTTGCTTGACTCTTTTTCTTCACTCTCTTTGAAAATTTCCATTACCTGACCTTTTACATCCTTTCTTTGCAGAATTATAATCTCGCATTTTATCTTAATCCTCAGAACAAAAGCCTGAATGGGAAAAGATTGGGGGGTGGGAACACAATTTATATAGGAATGGATGTTTGTTGGGGCCTCTTCCTTAAATGTTTTCGTTGAAGCTCTTCAGCTGTAAAACATACATTGTTTTTGTTGAATACCAGGTAATCTCTAAATGGTCTTATTTGGGGATCTTAACAAATCATTTGCTTCACATATTTATTCATTAAAAATTTGGAGCCTGTTTTCTTTGTAAGATACTGTACACTTTTCTGTATAATTTTGAATAGGGAGATGAATCTGATATGATCTTAAATTTGAATCCAGTGTAACAGTTTATTAGCTATGTGATCCTGAAGAGATGTTTTGTTATATTTGAAACCTATAAAATTCCAGGCAGCAATAAATAGTAGAAAGAAAAGAATAACATAAGCAACCAAAGGAGACGTGCTTTAGGGTAATACAAGATCAAGAGAATTTATAGGATGAAGACATAACATCCTTCTAGGGAATGAGGGAGAGGATCAATGTAACAGATTTTTGCAAAAGTAGAATCAACATATCAACATGTTCATTTTGGCTGGATGACAGAAAATGAGCTGTGAGCTATGATGCAGAGATGAGGGGTAAGAATCTGCTTGGATGTAAGGGACAGGGAGTTGGTGAAGTTAAAAATTACCAAGCTTTATGCCTGAGTGATAGGGAAGATGATGGTAAAATAAAACAAAAACCATGTTTTGGAGATAATAATTTATTAAATATTATATATGTTTAAGATGCAGCAGTCCCTAGACATAGATGATATCAGCCAAGCATTTAAAAACATGGGTCTGAAGCTTATTCCTGCATACATGGGTTTGGAAATCAAATAGAAATTTGGTAGCTTGCCAAAGGAGAGAGAATAGAGAAAATAAAAAAAGGGCCAAGGAAGATGAAAATATTTAAGGGCAGAAGGAATAAGAGGGATCAGAGAGCTTAAAAAGTAGAACTACAATTACATGGAACCCACGCATTTAAGACTATTTCAAGGAAAATAATTATCATCTAGGTTCAGTAATGCAGAGAAGTCAAAGGAGGTAAAGATTAGATAGGGCCATTGGGTTTGTCAACTAAGCCATCATTAGTGACTTTTGAGGGAACACAGTCACTTGATTTAGGGGAGTGAAGACCAGATTGTGAGAGGTTAAGGAGAGCAATTTTAGACTACTTTTTAAAAATATATGATTATAAAGGGAAAGAAAGAAAGTAATATGCATGTAAAAATGAATTCCTGTTAGAAATTATCTGGTTAAAATCCAAACAAATGAAGATTTTGGAAAAATAGACACTAACATAGGAATCAAATAGGACTTCTCTGCTCTGTTATTATCTCAGCATTGCTAAAATATCAATGGTATATAATGGCATCGTGTATTCATTTTTAAAGTAGTACTTAAGTGTTCATCCCTGTAAGATTTTTATGCTAAATGAAACCCACAGATACTTTCCTAAATAAGAAGTTTCTAAAAACAAAAAATTGATTCTGGAAGTAAGGTTTTTAATTCTCTTTTTGTATAGATTATTGACCCTAATCACTTTGGGGTTAGGATAAACAGGATTGGTTATAGCAGCATATCAATTTTAGGTTACAGGCTTATTTCCTTAAACTAATATTTTCATTTCCAATTTTCCTTGAACTTTTTTCTCGATTATCTTATCAGTTAAGTATTAAGTAGCTATAATTATTACCTTTTACATTTTTTTGTCTTATACTTCTTTTGAGTGACTTTGGCTTCCTTTACAGGTGGAAAGTCATACTTCATTTGAGTTCACTTGATAATCTGTCTGATGATCTTAACTTGAAGTTTTCCTTCAGACCACAAGTGACTCAAGTGACGATGACTACAAAACTAAGAAAAAAAGCCAGCAACAGATTGTCTAAAATTTTGCTTTTGGACAATTTTAGCCCCAGCTGGTAGAGAGGCAAAGAGTTCAGTGTCATCTTGAACATTTCCCAGATTTTTCCTTAACTTCTCTGTGCCATTTACTAATCTCATATGGTTATTTTGAAGATTAAATGAGTAAAACTATTTAAAATATTAAGAACGGTGCCGACACATAATAAATTCTCAGTAAATGTTACATATCATTCTTATTTATAAATTAAATATTCTTAACCTCTTTTATTCTTCCTTCTAATAATTCTTTTCCTTAAGGCTAAATGATAGTGAAATTGAACGACAGCATTTTAAGGACCAAGATATGTATTCTGATAAATCCGATAAAGAAAATGATCAAGAGCATGATGAGTCTGACAATGAGGTGATGGGGAAAAGTGAAGACAGTGACACAGATACATCAGAGAGGCAAGATGACTCATACATCGAACCTGAGCCTATCGAGCCTCTAAAAGAGACCACCTATACTGAACAGAGCCATGAGGAACTCGGAGAGGTAGAAGTCTGTGATTTTCAGAGATTTGGGTTTTCTAATTCTAAAGAAATTGAATATATTATTTGTTTGACCTATTGCTTATTTTCCCAAAAGAATATTTTATACCTACTTTATTTTAGAAGTTGTATACATATGAAATACATCAGGATTTATAAACAACTAAAAACATGTAATACACAAATATGAATATATTCTAGTAAATTTACAGTTTACATTTTCTTTAGGTTTGCTTTTGATATAGGATGCTGCTAGATGTCATTGCCAGGTACAAGTAAAATGCAGGAAACTTGAGTTTATAACTTTGTTGTTTATTGCAAGTGCATAGAGGTAGCTTTATTGTAATGAAGTATAATATTTTTGTAATAGAGTCTTTATATCATTTACTTTGATATCTTTTGCAAATACCCTTTTTACCAAAATTTTATAGCTATAGACTTTATTATTTAATGGGTTGTTTTCACATTTTAAGAATGCTTGGAATGGTCAGATAGAGAGTTCTGGTTTTCAACATTAGCTGTCTTTTCTACACATCTATGTGTCTGAAATAAATATAATATTTCAATATTTTTTGTTAATTGCTAAAGGCAGGTGAGGCTTCACAAACAGAAACTGTGTCTGAAGAAAACAAAAGCCTTATCTGGACATTGCTGAAACAAGTCCGTCCTGGTATGGACCTGTCCAGGGTGGTTCTGCCTACATTTATTTTGGAACCTCGTTCTTTCCTGGATAAACTTTCAGATTATTACTATCATGCAGATTTTCTGTCTGAGTAAGTAAATTCTTATTTCTTAGAGATTTCCCAGATTGCTATTCAGTGGTCTTGCCTTACCAAAATTGGTCTCTAGTGAGGTAATCACTCTCTTCTTCACCACTTCTGTAGTTGACCTTAAGAAATAAGAAACATATTTATTTCTTTGGTATGCTGTTTTCAGTTGAGTTGAGAGATCACGAGCTTTAGGAGGACAAGAATTTTACCCTCATCCGACAGCACTGCTGTCACAGGCTCCCTGACCTTTTGCTGACCTAACACAGGGAGAGGTGGTTGGCATTCTTTGTTCTCCCCACTTCAACCCTGTTCAGGTCCCACCCTGTGGCTTGTGCTTTTGTTTATACCTATCCTCTCTGCGTGCCTTTAAGACATGTGCAGCTTTCCGGATCCAGAATGCCCCACCAATTGTTGGCTCTTGGTGTAAATCACCACTTTTGTCTTTGCTTTTTTTTCCTGCCAGCCAGTTCTGAATAAGTCAGGCATAAAGGAGGTGTAGGAGGAACTGTCCACCTCTGTCCCAATACTTGTTTGAAGCACCAGTAAAAGACAGCAACTTTGTATGTTTCTAAGTTTTACCTGCACCCCAGTTCCAGCTACAGTGGTGTTGCAAGGCACTGTGTTTCTAAGTTCTGGCCCTGTGACCTGATTTTTAGATCCTGTATCAATATCTGTATTCAGTTTACTCGTTGCATTATTAGTCTGTTAGTTGTATTAATAAACATTGGCAAAATCATAAGCTGAATCAAAAGATCATTGATAAATTGTGGGAGATTTTTGCAAATTAAATCATACACAAAGTTTTTATCTCCCTAAAATAAAAAGTGCTCTTACAAAGTGATTGAAAATGATCAACAGCCTAATAGTAAAGGAGTGGAGGAAATGACTAGTTTAAAATGACTAGTCCTTAAACATACATACCTTACACAAAATAAGAAAAATGCAGATTCAAACTATAACATACTATTTTTTATCACATTGACCAGAAGTCCAAAACCCTTAATGCCCCAGTTCTGCTTTGTATGTTATTATATAGTTCTTTCTTTTATCTGTCTAGACATTCATTTCTCTTAGAGTGTGAGGAAGGTTCCTGTGAATCACAATAAGATCTTGAGAGATGCCTATTTTCCTCAAATTGGAAAGTTACACTTTTTGGCAACACACTATTTTGTTGCCAAGGCTGTGTGCATCATGCACTCCTGCACTGCTGCTGGGCAAGGTAAACTAGCACACTGCCTTTGAAGAGGACCTGGCAGTACTTACCAGAATTAGAGATGCTTTCAGTCCTTTGACCCAGGAATCCTGCTTCTGGGAATAATTCCTACAGATACAGCTCCGCATGTGCAAAACGACCTGTACATACAAGATTGTTCAGCAGGGCCTGTGATCGTGTACGATTGGTTAACTCAAGTGTCCCGCCACAGCTGATAGTTAAACAATGTGTAGTGCTTCCACACACAAGGAAGAACCCTATAAACTGATAAGGAGAGACCTCAGCATTATATGTGTGTGTGAAAAAAGCAAGGCACAGAAGAATGTGTATAGTTTGGTGCTTTTTATTTTTTAAAGAAAAAGACTACAGCTCTAGTCGGTATGGCTCAGTGAATAGAGCATCCCGGGTTTGATTCCACTCAAGGGCATATGCCCAGGTTGTGGGCTCGATCCCCAGTAAGGGGTGTGCAGGAGGCAGCCGATCCATAATTCTCTCTCATCATTGATGTTTCTATCTACCACTCCCTCTCCCTTCCTTTCTGAAACCAATAAAAATACATTAAAAAAAAAGACTAGATGGCTTCTTTATGCTTAAAGAAAACTTTATTTTTTAAAAGCTAGTAGGGAGAGCCGGGGAAGATGGGACAATAGCAAGACATGTATACTTTATTTTTAATGTATACTTTTTTTTATATTGCTTTGAGTTTTGAACTGTGTGTCCTATGTGTATGTAAAATATAAAATAAAATATTGTAGTAAGAGAGATTAAGTCAAGATAGGAAGAGAGCAAACAGAGGATTGTTAAATCCCAAAAAGTGCAACCATTCAGCTTGGCATAGTTGTCAGTAAGCATAGCTCTAGCCCAGGGGTTCTCAACCTGTGGGTCGCGACCCCTTTGGCGGTCGAATGACCCTTTCACAGGGGTCGCCTAAGACCATCCTGCAGATCAGATATTTACATTACGATTCATAACAGTAGCAACATTACAGTTATGAAGTAGCAACGAAAATAATTTTATGGTTGGGTCACAACATGAGGAACTGTATTTAAAGGGCCAGAAGGTTGAGAACCACTGCTCTAGCCTCTTTCATCTGAAGATCAGCACACTGGATCTTCAGACATGCTTAAAGAGTATAAAAAATAGTTAAATCATGAGAGAGAGAGAGAGAGAGAGAGAGAAGAGAGAGAGAGAGAGAGAAAACCAATGCACTAACTTCACAGTAGAATTCACTTCTGACTTACACAATCAATGTTTTTGCATCAACAAAATGGCAAGGGGGTAGCTGAGTGGGGACTTCTAAAAATTTTTTCTTTAAAATGAAAATTCTTTTTTGATTATCTGTTATATTGGTAGAGTTTGTTCACTCTGCAAAATCAGTTGATAGCACATAGGGAAGGTTGAAGGCTAAACATGGATTAAAAACCTTTTTTTATTAGTTTAAATTATTTTAAATCTTACATCTTTGTGATTTGAAACTTCAGTGTACAAGGGATTAAAAAGGCATATAATCCTATACTTAGGGAGGCTGTGCGGGAGAGGCTAACATTAGCCTGTTGTCCTCCCTTCATGTACTACAGCCCCCACCAGTTACCGTTGATCTCCTCTAATTAACGTCAACAACTGAAAATAGACTAAATCCCCAAGTGGACATGGTCCTTCTCTGACATATGGGACTGGAGACCTCATACGAAGTTGTTAATGAGGTTACTTGGCCATTGCCTCATTATTGCAAATGCTAGGTATCAAACAGTGCCCAAATCTCAAAATCTGTGTTTATTTGTTAATTTTTTATTTTTTTAAAATATATTTGATTGAATTTTTACAGAGAGGAAAGGAGAGGGATAGAGAGTTAGAAATATCGATGATAGAGAAACATTGATCAGCTGCCTCCTGCATGCTCCCTACTGGGGATGGGCCCGCAACCAAGGTACATGCCCTTGACCGGAATCGAACGTGGGACCCTTGAGTCCACAGGCCGACACTCTATCCACGAGCCAAACCGGCTAGGGCAAAATCTGTGTTTATTTTTTATAATCACAATTACAGAACCTCTAGCAACATCAAGGGTTCTGCAAAACCCCAGTTGAGAAATCTTGGTTTGGAGAGTTTTCAGAAACAAATTTGAGCTAAGACCTGGGTAGCATGTTAAAGAATAGGATAAATGGGAAGAAAAGTAACCAGGTTATAAAAACTGATTCTTACAAACTAATGTACATGGTTGTTTTTGATATCTATTTTAAATATGAATTATGCTTTTCAATCATTTATTATATTCAATTGTTGACAATAACTATGAGGGAGAATTTGTGATATAGTCTCTAAAATTCTTGTGTTTACCATTTTGATATTAGGGCTGCTCTTGAAGAAAATCCTTATTTCCGTTTGAAGAAAGTAGTGAAATGGTATTTGTCAGGATTCTATAAAAAGCCAAAGGTAATGTTTATATTTTACCTTTTTCAGCCTTATGTGAGTTCTTTATTTTTTTGTTATCTTTAGATTATCTATACTAATAAAGGGGTAATATGCTAATTAGACTGGATCGACCGGACATCTTCTGGACCTCCAACTTCCTTCCGGACAAAACCATGGTGGTGGGGGCCGAGGCAGAGGTGGTTAGGGGTGATCAGGCCAGGAGGGGAGCAAGCAGTTAGGGATGCGATCAGGCTGGCACAGGGGAGCAAGCAGTTAGGGGGCAATCAGGCCAGCGCAGGGGAGTAAGCAGTTAGGGAGCAATCAGGCCGGCAGGGGAGGGCAGTTAGGGGGCGATCAGGCCAGCAGGGGAGCAATTAGGGGTGATCAGGCCGGAAGGCAGAGACGGTTAGGGGCGATCAGGCAAGCAGGCAGGTGAGTTGTTAGGAGCCAGAGGTCCCAGATTGTGAGAGGGATGTCCGACTGCCGGTTTAGGCCCAATCCCACGGGCCTAAACCGGCAGTCGGACATCCCCTGAGGGGTCCCAGATTGGAGAGGGTGCAGGCTGGGTTGAGGGACACCCCCATGCACGAATTTTGTGCACTGGGCCTCTAGTTTATTAATAATTACATTGCAAGGCCTTGAGTTAGCAAAATTGCAAAATACTTAGTCCTGTATTGTGAGTGAAGTCGTTTAACTTTATTTCATGTCCCTACTGTGAAATTTTATAAGGATAGCTCCTACATGATACAGCTAAACCCATCTTGACTGGTTTGAACTATTTTGAATCTTCCGTATTTATAATTTAAATTTGGATGTTTTTTTCCTAGGGACTGAAGAAACCTTATAATCCTATACTTGGTGAGACTTTTCGTTGTCTGTGGATTCACCCCAGAACAAACAGCAAAACTTTTTATATTGCTGAACAGGTATTATAAATGTGTCTTAAGCTAGCTGGTTTGGTTCAGTGGCTAGAGTGTCGGCCTGCGGACCGAAGGGTCCTGGGTTCGATTCCAGTCAAGAGCACATACCTTAGTTGCAGGCTCCTCCTGGCCCAGGCCCAGGTCATGGCATATGCAGGAGGCAGCCAATCGATGTGTTTCTCTCACATTGATATTTCTCTCTGTCTTTCTCTCTCTCTTAAAAAAAAAAAAAAAAAAATCAATGGAAAAATATCCTCAAGTGAGGATGAAAAAATAAAAAGAAATGTGTCTTAAGAAACAAAACTAATTCTGAAGTTATTGGAAAATATTAATTTAGTAAATTCACTGTTGGTTAACCATTGTTAATGAACATTTGGTAAGCATTTTACCTTTTAGTACTGAGTATTACTATACCATACTGAAAATTACTATTTCAGCCATAGAATCCTTTGACAAAAATAACTTTTTTCCTGCCTCCCATCCCTTTATCAGAATTCTTCCCTATTTCCCCAGTTCCTAAATCAAATTTATACCATTTGTGTGGCATTTAAGGTCCTCCATATTCAGAATTAGGTAACCTGATATTACACATTTTTTTTGCCTTAGTAGTTTTAAATTTAATTCTTCTATCCCAATATTTCTTCTCTGTTGTACTTCATCTAAATAAACCTTGACCTGATCATCTTTCTTGGTCCAAATGATTACAGCTCCCAGTGATTTCTCTCCTCAGACTTCTGTATTATTTTTTGTGATTATCCATTAAGCTGTTATTTTAACACTTTTTATAAAATATTTATTTCCCAAATTGAATTGTTAGCTCCTTAAACGTATACCCTCCCCATAATACATCTCTTTTTATTGTACACATAGTAGGCAGTCAGAATACTTCTTAGTTTTAATCTTTGATTAATTTAAATTTATGTACACCTGTATTCATGATTGTTAATCTACATGACAACAAACAAACCGTCCTAACAAACCTGACGAATGTGATATTATCTTTCAATAACAGTGGATCCTTATTATAATAATTCTCAGCTGTATTGTAAGGAGGATGAGGAGACCATGTGGCATTTGAAAAACTTTCCTCTTCCCTAGAAATTTTAATATACCCCTCAGATTGAAACCACGTATCTGTATTAATTTTTTAAATTAATGATTAGAATACCTTACATTTTAGTTCACTATAATTCTTCTCTAAATTGAGAAGCTTGAGAAGAGCTTAATTGATTTTAGCTTTGTCTCATTTCAGAAAGCATAAGATGTATATATATATATTAAAATATTAGATTATTAAAATAATATATTTGTCAAAGTTTTTGTTAGTTTTCTATAGCTATTCATAATTTATATGAAGAATTGCCACTGGTTAGTTATCCATTTTTGTATAACAAATTACTGCCAAAACTTAATGGCTTAAACAACATTTATTATATCATACAATGAGGTTCAGGAATCTGGAGCTCCTCAGCTGGGTGGTTCTGGCTCAGGGTCTTCAGAGGTTGTAGTTAAGATGTAACCCAGCTTTGTAGTTCTCGGAAGGTTTAAGTGGGATAGCAGTTTCTACTTTCAAGTTCATCACATAGCTTTTGACAATAGGACTTAGTTCCTCACAATATGGGCCCTCTCCATTGGTTTGTTCACTATATGCAAGCTGGCTTTTTAGAGCTGATTATCTGAGAGACATACACATTATAACCTAATTTCAGAAGTGGCATGCTATCACTTCACATAAACCAACTTTGGTACAGTGTAAGAGGAACCCACCTAATGGTTTGCATACTGGGAGGTGAGATTCCTTGGGAGACATCTTAGAAGCTGATTACTATAATCATCAATATTTAATTTTACTACTTACCAAATCTTTCTTCTTTATTAATAGAGTGTACTTTTAAAACTTAACTTTTTGATATTAGCACAATAATATTCTTAATAAATTCTGTGTTTTTTCCTGTGTTCAATAGGTGTCCCATCACCCACCAATATCTGCCTTTTATGTTAGTAACCGAAAGGACGGATTTTGCATTAGTGGTAGTATCCTGGCTAAGTCCAAGTTCTATGGTAAGTTTCCTCTTGGCTCAGTAGGTACCCTTTTCTGGGAGGTAGTATTTTTTAGTGAACTTTTATTTAGATGGTGTCTTGATATGTTTTCAGTAAGGAATTTTTATGTTATTTTAAGTGTCATTTTTACTTGAATAATGACTTTTATAGTGATTTTTTTGTCCATAAATTGATATCTGCCTCATTTTATTTATATATATATATATATATATATATATATATATATATATATTTTCCATATGTATAAATTTATCCCAAACACCACTTATTAAAAAACTGAATAATGATTGCCCACTATGGTAGCCCTTTTAGTGCATAATGTATTTCTTTTGCCTTTAGCCCTTACTAAGGTTTTTGTTCCATCTTAATGTACCCAAGGGTTTTTTTTTATTTTATTTTAGTCTTTTTTAAAAAAATATATATATTTTATTGATTTTTTACAGAGAGGAAGGGAGAGGGATAGAGAGTCAGAAACATCGATGAGAGAGAAACATCGATCAGCCGCCTCCTGCACACTCCCCACTGGGGATGTGCCCGCAACCAAGGTACATGCCCTTGACCGGAATCGAACCTAGGACCCTTGAGTCCGCAGTCCGATGCTCTATCCACTGAGCCAAACCGGCCAGGGCTATTTTAGTCTTTGACTAGAGAGAGAAAGAATCCAAGTACAATTAGAATACTTGGTTCAGCATCATTTAGTAACAACATTTAACCTTGGTTCCAAAAACATACCAAAAAAGCTTTTGTTAAGTACAAGGGGAAAAAGAAATATAGTTGTAATAGGAAACCTTAATCTAATAACTGAAACTATCTAAACAAACAAATCATGGCCATAGCTATGTACTAGTAGAAAATATAACCTTAAAAGCTTTTATTTGTTTTTTTAAATGGAGAAAAATCAATGAATTAAATTTCAACTGGGAAATTTTAAACTTGAAAGAAAAAATAATTATGGTAAAATAGGAAAGATTAAATATGTCAACAGAAATCTAATCTTTGGTTCTTTGAATAGGTGGAGAACCATAGATAAGTCTGTGACACGGAAATCTAATAGTAGTTTTTGGTCCAGGAACATGATGTTCTTTTCTTCAAGATATTTTTTTTATTTCCCTTAATGTTAGTTTTATTTGGGTTTTGTTTTTTGCCTACTTTTATGTTTTGTTTGTTTCAGATGGTGATTGTTTTCTTCTGAAGGTTACGTATATTTGTTATTCCCTCCCCATTGCACCTTCCTTCCATCTACACTCCTACTTTGACTATAGGGTAAATGGCTTACGACCACAAAGAACACTATCAACCACCTTACCATAATTAATATTTCTAAAACATCACAATCAACAGCTACAGCATACCCATTATTTTCAAGTATATGTATGGTGTTGTCACTGGTCTAGACCACGTGTTTGACCATAAAACAACTCTCCATAAATTTCAAAAGGCTGAAAATTATACAGAGTATGTTCTGTAACTTCAATTAAATAGAATTAGAAATTAATGATATCATGCTAAATTACAAATATTTTGAAATTCAATAACATCTAAATTCATGGGTCAAAGAAGAAGTCACAAGAGAAATTATTATATATTTTAAACTAAATGGTAATGAAAATATAACATTAAAATTTGTATGATGTAGCAAAAGCAGTGCTTAGAGGGAAATTTATAATTTTAAATTGAAAAAGGAGAAAGATCTAAATCAGTGATCTGAGTTTTTACCCTAGGAAATTAGAAAAAGAGCTAATTGAATTTAAAGTAAGTAGAAGAACGGAAATAATAAAGAGTAGACATTGGTGTAGAAAATAGAAAAACAATACAGAAATCAAACAAGGGTTGGTTTTAGACTGATTATAAAAAGAGAGTAAAGGTCAGAAATAAATGAGCAGAATTATTGATCCTACACACCCTGAAGTGATGATAAGGAGATATGGACAATTTTATACTGATAAATTTGACTGCTTAGATTGACATGGGCAAATCTCTTAAAAAACACAAGTTACCAAAACTGACCCAAGAATAAATGTAAAAATGTAATAGTCTTAAATCAATGTAAAAAATTGAATTAGTGATTTAAAATCTTCCTTTGAAGATATACTCTGGGCCCAAATGTCTTGAGTTCTTTTAAATACTTAAGGAAGAAAAATACCAATTTTATCCAACTTCTTACAGAAAATAGGAGAGGAGGATACACTTCTCAACTTATTTTATAAGGCCAGCACTATTCTCACCCCCCAAACCCAGCATTATAAGAAAACTATAAATCAATATCTCTTTAATATACTTGTAAAAATCCCTAACAAATTAGTAATAAGTCAGTATTATAAAGGATAATATTTAAACACATATGAAAGGATATATAAAAAGGATCTGTATCATGATCAATATATTAAAAGGATAATATGTCGTGATCAATTGGAGTTTATCTCAGGAATACAAGGTTGGTGTGTTATCTGAAAATCAATGTAATTCATATTAATAGAATAAAGGAAAAGCATTTTACAGAATTCACTACCCATTTACAATAAAGGCTGTCGACAAATTAGGACTAGATTAAAGGTATTTATGAAAAATATATAGCCAACTTTATACTCCTAAGGTGGATATTGAATAATTTTGACCTAAAATTAGGAGCAAGGTAAAGATGTTCATGCTTACTACTTCTGTATTAAATTACATTTAAGGTGTTAGCCAGTGCAGTAGGCAAGTAAAAAGCATACAGATTAGAAAGGTAGAAGTTAAAATATATACATACCTGATCTACATTAAAAATCCTTAAGAATATATCAAAAACTACTAAAACTATTAAGTAAATTTAATAAGGTTGCAGGATACAAGGTCAAAATACAAAAATAACTTGTACAAAATCAACACTTGCAGAATGTAACTTTAAAAAAAACTTTGATTACAACAGTATGTGAAAAATAGAATATTTAGGAATAAATTTAATGAAAGATATAAATTTAATGAACGATACCTGCACACTGAAACTACAAAATACTGCTGAAGAAAATTAAAGATGACTTAAGTAACTGGAGAGATACACTATGTTCATGTATTAGATTGTTTTGATATTGTTAAAATGGCCTGAAATGTTGAAACAGAAGCATGGATGAATGTAAAAAACCAGTTTGATAAGTGAAAGAAGTCAAACACAATAAACTACATATTTTATGGTCCCATCCATACAAAACTCTAGAATAAGTAAAACTACAGTGACAGGAACCAGACCTGTGGTTTCCTGGGGCTGGAGGAAAGCATTGACTGCCAAGGTGTAAGGGGAAGTCTTTTTGGGGTATGGGAAATTCTGTATCTTGATTGTGGTCGTGGTAATTACATGACTGTATACAGTTGCCAAGACTATCAAAATAAATACTTAAAATGGGTCACTTATTATATCTAAACTAGAGGCCCGGTGCACGAAAAACGTACACTCTGGGGGGTCTCTTAGCCCGGCATGTGCCCTCTCGCAGTTCGGGAGCCCTTGGGAGATGTCCAATGACAACTTAGGCCCACTCCCCAATATTAAGTGGAGAGCAGGCCTAAGACATCAGTCGGACATCCTTAGCACTGCCGTGGAGGTGGGAGAGGCTTTCACCACTGCCACTGCACTCGCCAGCCATGAGCCCAGTTCTGGCTGAGCAGCTCTCCCCCTGAGGGAGTGCACTGACCACCAGGAGGCAGCTCCTGCGTTGAGTGTCTGCCCCCTGGTGGTCAGTGTGCGTCATAGTGACCGGTCATTCTGCCGTTCAGTCGATTTGCATATTAGCCTTTTATCATATAGGATTGTTATACTTCAATAAAACTGATGATGGGGGAAAAGAAAAATACATATGGGATAAAAGCTAGAAGAAAATATCCTGAAATTTTATCATTGATTGAATGGATTATGGGTTATGTATATTTTTATTTTTCTAAAGTATCTATAGCATTTTTAAAAAATATTTTTAATTGATTTCAGAGAGGGAAGGAGGGGGAGAGAGAGAGAAAGAAACATCAATGATGAGAGAGAATCATTGATCAGATGCCACCTGCAAGCCTCCTACTAGGGATTGAGCCCAAAACTACTGAGCCACACTTGCCAGGCTCTAGCATTTTTATGTCAAAAGAACTTAAAGCTTGGGACTTAAATAATACGACTTACAGAAGAAATAATGTTTTTATTAAAAATTGGGCAAATTAAGCTATACAGTGAAATAGTGTTTTTTGCATGTTCTACATGTTTAAAATTTTTCTTAAAAGTCTCATATAAATTAACAAGCACTTTTCATAAGAATGAAAATATAGATCAAATATATTTCAGGTATAACATGTGTTTGGACACATTGAGATTGTGAGACATTTTTATTTTTAAAACATTCCATTGTAGGTGTCTGGTAGGTGTCTTAAATATATTTCATTTGTTTTGAATTAGTGAAATTAGTTTTGTGAAATTTAATAAGCGTTATTTATTTCAGGAAACTCATTATCTGCAATATTAGATGGAGAAGCACGATTAACTTTTTTGAATAGAGGTGAAGATTATGTAATGACAATGCCATATGCTCATTGTAAAGGTAAATGTTTTCCATACTTGAGTAAGATATTCCTAAAACCTTTTTAAATTAATGTATGTGGCTATAATTTGTTCTGTTTTGAGATTGATGAAGTCAGTCATTTGTTTTAAAAGTGTAGTTGTTTTATAGATATTTAAGATTATTGCAGTTATATTGAATATTTCTGTGGTGAATTAGTCTACACATATTTCAGACACATATTTTAGTTGAAAAGAGGCTGTTTACAATAATGGAATTTCATTTGCCTTAAGTGCAGGTTTTAAAATTGATGAAACTACCCATTATTTCAGAATCTTCAAAAGTGATTTTCATCATCTTGCACTACCACCCCTTTTTTAAATTTTAATAAATTGTTTTTCAGTGTACCAAGTCCTTTAAAATTTTTTCTCATCCTCATTTGGAAATTTCTTAAAAGGTGGTGTATTTGATTTCCCCCCCATTATTTAGGGTTCAGATATTAAAATAACTATTGTTTACAACAGTCCGGGCACCCAACTATTCCATGCACTTCATATTTATAAACTCAGTCATTCCAGCAACCCTTATACTGGTAAAGTAGGTAATATCCCTATTTTATGGGCAATGAAAATGAGACACAAAGAGCCTTGCCTGATACTACATAGGTAGGATGTGGCAGAGTCAAGATTCTGCAGTCTGCACCACTGTGCGATAGGGCATCAGCCTAAACACTCAGGTTGGTCATTATCTATACCAGTGATGGCGAACCTTTTGAGCTCGGCGTGTCAGCATTTTGAGAAACCCTAACTTAACTCTGGTGCCGTGTCACATATAGAAATTTTTTGATATTTGCAACCATAGTAAAAGAAAGACTTATATTTTTGATATTTATTTTATACTAGAGGCCCGGTGCACAAAAATTTGTGCACTGGCGGGGGGTGTCCCTCAGCCCAGCATGTGCCCTCTCGCAGTCTGGGACCTCTCGGGGGATGACCACCTGCTGGCTTAGGCCTGCTCCCTGGGGGATTGGGCCTAAGATGGCAATCAGATATCCCTCTGGCAGCCTGGCAGCCCTCGGGGGATGTCCACTTGCTAGTGGGGAGCAGACCTAAGCTGCAGTCAGACATCCTTAGCGCTGCTGAGGAGGCAGGAGAGGCTCCAACCACCACCACTGTACTGGCAGCCATCAGCCTGGCTTGTGGCTGAGCAGAGCTCCCCCATGTGGGAGCGCACTGACCACCAGAGGGCAGCTCCTGCATTGAGCGTCTGCCCCCTGGTGGTCAGTGTGTGTCATAGTGACCAGTCATTCCCAGTCTTTGTGCTGTTAGGGTCAGTTTGCATATTACCCTTTTACTATATAGGATAGAGGCCTGGTGCACGGGTGGTGGCTGGCTGGTTTGCCCTGAAGGGTGTCCTAGATCAGGGTGGGGGTCCCGCTTGGGTGCCTGGCCAGCCTGGATGAGGGGCTGATGGCTGTTTTCAGGCTGGCCACACCCCCTTTAGGGTGAGGGTCCCCACTGGGGTGCCTGGCCAGTCTGGGTGAGGGACTGAGGGCTGTTTTCAGGCTGGCCGGCGACTGAAGCTCCCAGCCTCTTCTTTTTTTCTATTTTTTTTTATTCTGGGATTTATTTACCTTCTATAATTGAAACTTCGTTGCTGTCACTGGAGCTGAGAGCCGGCTCCAGCCTCTTCTTTTTTTCTATTTTTTTTTATTCTGGGATTTATTTACCTTCTATAATTGAAACTTTGTTGCTGTCACTGGAGCTGAGAGCCGGCTCCAGCTCCGTGGCCACCGCCAGCTGAAAGCTGGTATCTGGGGTTTGTTTAGCTTCTATAATTGAAACTTTGTTGCTTTCGGAGCTCAGAGCCGGGCCGCGGCAGGCGGGGAACCTTGTCTTCCTCCATCACTGGAGCAAGCAAGCCTCCTGCTCGCTTCAGCTGCGTGGCTGCCGGCTGCCATCTTGGTTGGCGGTTAATTTGCATATCACCCTGATTAGCCAATGGGAAGCGTAGCGAAGGTACAGTCAATTACCCTTTTTGTCTTTTATTAGATAGGATATTTAAATGCCATTTAACAAAGAAAAATCAACCAAAAAAATGAGTTCACTTGTCACCTCTGACACGCGTGTCGTAGGTTCGCCATCACTGACTATACTCTCCTTTCCAACTCATTTTTTTTTTATTGATTTCAGAGAGGAAAGGAGAGGGGGAAAGAGAGAGAGAATCATCAGTGATGAGAATCATTGATTGGTTGCCTCCTGCATGCGCCCCACTGGGGATTGAGCCCACAACCTGGGCTTGTGCCCTGACCGAGAATCAAACTGTGACCTCTTGGTTTATAGGTCAATGCTCAACCACTGAGCCATGCCGACTGTGCCCAACCCATTTCTTAAAAATAACTATTTTTGGTAATGATCCTCTATTTTAGGAACTGATCATGAAAACATATAACTTATTTCATATGACCTCATTTCACAGAGGAGAAAACTGGGAGGGTTAAGAATCTTATCCAAGGCCAAACAAGCTAGTTAGTGAGAACTGAGAATAAACTCTATGCTTGTTGATGCCCATCTACTGTACCATGAGTCTACCTAGTACTAAGTACAAGAATGGCCAACCTGTGGCCAGTAGCTAGATAATTCTTAGTTTCACGTGTGGTTCTTGAAATAGACATGAAGTGAAATATCTGAAATTATGAAATGAATTGATAAATATATTTTTAAATTTTATATCATTTGAAATATTTCATGTAAGTACCCAATACCATACAGGGGCAAATTTTTTCATAGCGTTGTTTTTATTGCATGGATGAAAGACGAGATTATAACTTTTAGTGAATAAACATAGGAAATAATGATTACTTTTACCTTTTGTATTTTCTAAGATGTGTTCCCCAAATCACTAGTCTTGTTTTACAAAATTAGAGTTCCGTAGCCAAATAAGAATGAGAAGTCTTGCATAGTATGTTCCCCTTTTGGAAATGAACATTGTTTTATAAAATTAGTGTTCCATAACCCAGTAAGAATGAGAAGCCTTGCACAGTTTGTTCCCCTCTTGGAAGTGAGCATTTTAAACTGCCTTACAGCTTGTTCTAGGAACAGATAACAACTCAAAATTTCAACACTCTGCCCATATTCATGAATGACTGCAACAGTGCTGTGGGTAGTGATTTGGAGATTACTAATGTATTTCAATGTGTTTGTGAATATACAGATGTAGAATCTACAGATAATGTGTATCAACTATCATCTATTATCTATTCAAATTCTATAGAACTAACTTTATATGTATATTATAAATTGTTACTGAGTGGGATGGAGTACCCTTGCATTTTTAGTTTCTCCTAGAATGAAATTAGATTTTAAAGCTCTGCTTGTTATTAGCCAGTGTCTCTCTCTTCAACCTTCTGTCAAAATTGTTTTTTTTCTTTAGGAATTCTTTATGGCACAATGACACTGGAGCTTGGTGGAACGGTCAATATTACATGTCAGAAAACTGGATACAGTGCAATACTTGAATTTAAACTAAAGGTTAGTAGAGAATAATAGGACGTATCACCTAATAAAAAAGGAGCTGTGATATAAATACTAAGAAAAGAACACAGTTTAGTTTATAATTTAAAGACTAAATATAATAACACAGAATTCATGAAAGGGCAGTCTTGGAAGATCCAGATCACTACAGAGCCATCATTTTTTATTTCTTTATTTTAATAAAGTGGTTTGCATTATATAAGAGATGAAATCTAAGAAATAAATGGATATAAATTTTTCAGTAAATGAAAGTATTGCTTCACAAAATACCAAAAAAGTATATATCCGCTTGAGCTATAGCTGTGTACACTGAGAGTTGTGTTAGTTATTTCTAACTAACAATTTACTCTAAAACTCACAAGCTTAAAAACAACAATTTTTTGATCCTTTGGGGTTCTGTGGGTTGGGAATTTGGATAGAATATATTGGAAGTGGCTTATCTCTGCCACATAATGTCTGGGGCTTCAGTTAGAAAGACTTGCAGACTGAGTGACCACAGTTATGGCCTAGAACCATCTGAAGGCTCATCAGTTAGTTATGTGTCTGATGCCTGGTCCAGATGACTGAAAGACTAGGACTGCTAATTTAACACCTATATATGCGGCCTTTCCATGTACCTTGGCCTTCTCACAGCCAGTTGGCCGCTTCAAGTCAATCAGACTAACAACCACTTGGCAGCTCAGGATTTCAAGTGTAAGTGTTCTTGTGAGTAAGGTGAAAACTGCATTGCCGTCCTTGACTCAAAGGTCAGATTTCATCACTTCCACCACTCTATTAATTGAAGAGTTATAAACCTACCCAAATTCAAGGGGAAGGGATGTAGACTCCGCTTCTCACTGGGAGGATGGCAGGGCATCATTGAGGAAGAGCATGTGGCCTGGAGGGGGGAGGATAGATATGCTTGAGATAATCTTTGGAAAATCCTGTCTGTTTAGAGTGAAAGGGAAATTTAAGGCCTTTCACAGTGTCAGTGATTGGTGTAAGATAGTACATTATGTTCAGATAAAAATATTTCTATGAACTATTAATATTTATTAATATTTATTAATAGTTCCCATGTTGATATCCAGCTGACCAGCAACTTTTCACTAATAAAAAGCATCTCTTTTAAGTGTTATTTGATGTAATGTCCTTCATTTGATTTTTTTTTCATCTTAACAAATTTTTGCTTGTATGGTGATAATGATATTTGAAAATCATGACTAAAGAGCTCTTAAGTAATTTATAATATCTTTAACGATTAGACTGGCACACCAAAATTTTGTCACTGAGGAGAAACATCAGTAATGCAACATAGTAACTCAAAGTGTAGTTCTTCTAATTTTATTTTTTGGAGATACTTTTGGTTGCGTATTATTTTACTGTTTTATTTTGAAGGAGGGGGTGTTATTTCTTTTAATAGATGAGTTAAGTCCTTTAGGTTTACTGAGTTATTTTTGCTTCATCTATTGCAACATTGATAGAATACAGTCTGAGGCAGGAGAGAGCACAGGACTTGTCAGTTAGATCAGTGTGATCTTTCTCAGTAAGTTTATTTGAACTTCACGTAGTCTGGTTTTCTTAAGCTATTTTTTTCCATGTCAACAACTTCAAATTTCTTTTTATTGAGCATTTCTGACTAAAGTTTGAGTCCCATTTGTGCCTTCAACAGCACTGTAACTATGCAGTTACTTTTCCTATTGTTTTTGTCACATATCTAAATTTAAGTTAAAAGCAAAATATTTATTTAACATTTTCTTTTTTAAAAGCCATTTCTAGGTAACAGTGACTGTGTTAACCAAATATCAGGGAAACTTAAACTGGGAAAAGAAGTCTTAGCTACTTTGGAAGGCCATTGGGTAAGTATTTTTATGTTTAGCTTAACAAAAGCATTTTCTATGGAAAAGAATTAACAATCACATTTTATAAACTCACTGATTCCATTGCTAAAATCATCACTATTTAACATAAGCTTCACCCTAACAAATATTTTGGTGTTGCTCTGTTACCAATAATATCTACTTGTATGTCATATTTTATCTTTCCAAAACTTTAAATCAGTAAAACCAACTAACACTTACATATGTCACTTACTATGCACTGCAGTGTTTATAAATGTTCCTCATATTAACTCATTTAATGTTTAATATAATAATTCTTTGTGGTGGTTACTGTTATTGTCCCTATTTTACAGAGGCAAAGAGAGTTTAAATAATTTGCTGCCCTAGCATATTTGGCTCAGTGTACAGAGCGTTGACCTGCGGACTGAAGGGTCCCAGGTTCGATTCCAGTCAAGGGCATATGCCCGGGTTGTTGATTCGATCCCCAGTAGGGGGTGTGCGGGAGGCAGCCAATCAGTGATTCTCTCTCATCATTGATGTTTCTATCGTTTCTATCTCTCTCCCTCTCCCTTCCTCTCTGATATCAATTTTTTATATATATAAATAAAATAATTTGCTGAAAGTAAGTGGTGAAATAAGAATTCCAGCCTAAGCACTGTGGCTCCAGGACTATGCTTTTATTACAACAGTATACTGCCTCTCACCTAGAAGGAAGGGGCATTTCCCAATAGAGTTATATTTCCTTTTCAGGAACATGGAAAGGCTATGGTTGTATATGAGAGCAATGGGTTTTATTTACTTCACTATTGACCTAAATTCACATCTGTCTATTTTTGTTAAGAGAAGCTTAACTGAATAAAAAGGATCATACCATGCCATTGCCTGGGTGCACTCTCAATATGAACACTGAGTATTTTATGCATTATAATAAGCAGGAGATGATAAGAAATGTAAGAAAATGAAACTGGATCTAGAAACTCAACCACAGGGCCCTCTGTAATTTTAAAATTATACTTCTATATGCCCGGCCGGTGTTGCTCAGTGGTTGAGTGTCGACCTATGATCCAGGAGGTAACGGTTCAATTACTGGTAAGGACACATGTCTGGGTTGCGGGCTTGATCCCCAGTGCGGGGTGTGCAGGAGGCAGCCAGTCTCTCTCATCATTGATGTTTCTATCTATCTCCCTCTCGCTTCCTCTCTGAATTCAATAAAAATATTTTTTTTAATTTACTTCTATCTGAATATCATTTGGAAAAATGATAAAAAGTTTTTCAAAAAATGAAATTTTTCAGATTGTGCTCAAATGTTAATGCTT